GTGTGGCTGTGTGGTGTCTTCTTGTAGGAATTGTTGAAAGCTCTTGCTGTGGTCGTTCCATGATGTTGTGTGTGTTGTTCTCTTGCCAAGTAGTGATTTGGATTTGCGCTTGTGTAGTCGTGAGTTTGCTTGTCTGATGTGTCCAATGGTAAGGTGTGACTCGTTGATGCCTCCAATGTAGTTTGCTGTGTCCTCATAGCTGTTGTCATTCCAATCCCAGCTGTTGTCATAGTCGTAGTCGTTCCAGTTCTCCTCCATGTAGTTCACCTCGTGTTGTCCTTCTTCTCCTTCGTAGTACCAGTCCCAAGTGTCGTTCACATCCTGAGGTAGTTCTTCATTGTTGTCATGATCTGCTTGTTCTTGTTCTAGTGGATGTAGTTCTTCTCCTTCTCCTATGTGCCATACTGGCACTCTGCAGTCTTGTGCCCAGTGGCCAGGCTTGCCACATCGATGGCATGTTGTGTAGTTGTTGTTTCCTTTTCCTTTTGATTTGCTGTAGTTTCCTTGGCCTTTGTAGCCTTTGCTTGATCCATATCCTTTGGATCCTGATTAGCCTTTTCCTTTGCTCTTGTTGTATCCTCCTTTGTTGTAGTTTCCTTTGCTGCCTTTGTCGAATCCTTTGTAGTGGCCTTTGTTTCTGTACTTGCCTTTTCCTTTGTTTCCTTTGTAGGATCCTTTGCCTCCATATTTGCTTTTGCCTTTGTAGTTTCTTCCTTTCCTCCAAATGTTGTCCACGTCCATGGGTGCTGTTCCACCATTGTAGTTTGCGCCAACCGCTGAGCTCGCTCTTGAGAATGCAGATATGGTCTTGTAGTAGTCCAGGATGACAACTCTGATCTTGTTGTAGTTCGTGGTCTGTCCAGCACGTAGTTGGAGATGTTGTTGAAGCGGTCCTTTGGTCTTGTTGAGTAGCATTGCAATCTTCACTCCATCTGGTAGCGCTGTGCCGTCGTCTTTCTCGTAGCGGTTGATGTCATACTCCCACTGTAGGAGTTGTTCTTCAAATTGTGCTTGATTGAATGTAGGTTCCAGTAGTTTGGCGAGGTAGCCAACACTGCGTGTTCCTACTGGTAGGCTGAACCTGTTGTGCAAAAGCCGTAGTGTTTCACATCCATTGGCATTGTAGCGGTTTTGTCTGACCACAGTAGCTGCTGCACCTTGGCAGATGTTGATGAGGATGTAGTGTAGATCTCGTGAGAGGTCTACTGCTTTTGCTGCCTGTGTAGGGTCGCGTATGTGGGCTCTGATGTCTGCATCTTCAATTTGTCTTGTAGCTGCTTGCGCTAGTTGTAGTACCATGTCGGAGTCTCGGTCGATGAGTCCAAGGTATGCTTGTAGTTTGAACAGCCACTCTTCGTACTGTGAGTAGTCACCAGTGAAGAACGGTGGTGGCAGTTTGTATTTGTGTAGCCTTTGGACGTCTTCCTGCTCCTGTGTTGTTCCCGTAGTTGTGGCTCCTATTGTCTCCTCTGCTGTGGGCCCGTTGTCTGCTCCTGTAGTTGGTTGTGCTGATGCTGCTGCTGGTTCTCCTGACATGTCGTAGTAGTTGGGCATGTTGTTGCCTGTGCAGTTGTAGTACTTACTGCTGTTACTGGAGCTCCCCCATGTTTAGGATCTCAGCTCCGCTACCACGTTAAAATACGTCGTTGCTTTACTACAAGTGCAAGTGTTGTTTATGCTGTCACAAACACAAATGTAGTTTCCCAGCATGCACTCTTTTGCTTGTAGACTCAAGGCCTGCGGTCGAGTAGTGTACATCATGCATGTACAAGGGACAAGTAGTACAGCATGATATTTGACATCTCTCTCTCTCATTTTCCCTTTTTCTTTTTATGTGGATGGCTCCTGTGGGGTCTAGGTAAATGATCAATCTGTCTCGAGCGGCATGTTTCTTAGTGATCATGATCTTCCCGGTTGTTTGCTCTAAAGGCGTCCTCGTCGCGAGTAAGAAAATAAGCTCAGGTGATATCTCCAACAGCATGCGGTGCGCTGTCGTGAAAACCTGGCGCAAGCCTGGTGGAACTTTGCCTCTGATTGAATTCTCGTGGAACCTTGGGCCGCCCCTGACCACCCCGGAGCCTACCGGCTGAGACCCCAAAGCTTTCAGCTGTTGAGAAAAACACATGCCATATGTGGTTTGAAGTCATTGTCGGGGAATTTTCGTGCAATGTCGTCCGGAGCTGAGGACCTGCTTAAAGCCCGTGAGGTCCAGGTCCTTCCGAAGATGAGGCTGAAGGTTCGGGCACTTCGGTTTCCCTTCAAGAGCCTCTTTGTACATCTGTGTCCGTTGAGATGTTTTCTCATGAGGAAGAGGCTTGGCGTTCTTTCTTGACAAATCTCTTGTCCACGCTTCGGGTTCTTCCTGAACCTGGACGCACGAACGTAGATCTCCACGACGGGCTGGTTAAGGCCAGCGTTTTCATTGTAATCGGCCGCCTGTGATTCACCTCCGAAAGTCCTCATGAGGAGGCTCCTTCTTCTTGCGTTAGTAGACGAACGCTAAAGCTGCTCTGACCTTGAGTGTGTCGAATAAAGCAGCAATGAGCATGGAGGCCAACGTGCGATCTGAAGCTTGGTATTTGCGCAATGTTCACCGGGGTCATGCGGTAGCACTGCGGTAGATACTCCTGGATGCACAGGATCAGTGAGCAAGCTCTTCCACCTGTGGGGCCCGAACAGGCGAAACTCATCACTTTTCTTTCTTGCGTCTCATCATCGCCCCGGAAGTTTGGCTCGTACCATGTTGAGATGGTCGCAAACGATTGTAGCTCACTAGCCAAGCACAATTGACTTCAAGCGGCTGCGGAGGCAGACACAAAATTATTGAGTCAAGAAATTATCTGAATATGGAAACGTCAAAATGGGATACAGACGTTGAAGGCTCATCTTGGCAAACTTCTTCTCAAGTTGCTTAGATGGAAAAATGGGAAGCCTCGCGCAAAATGTTCTCTGGGTGTTGTAAACGCCATGGCGGCGGATTTGATCAACTCATCCGCTTTGCTTGAGCTCTTCGTCTTGCAACCTGCTAGGCAAAACTTTGAGCGCACGTGCGCAAGATCATGCATCTGGCCACTGTGTTACTCGCCTTGCAACCAAACGACAAGAACCCCTAATGGCATTAATCGGCATCAACTACACAACAGCTCATGAGCAAGAACCGGAAGGAAGCCACCAACAAGAGAATACGACTTGGAATGCAAATCCTGGTTAGCAAGTCTTTCACTTACTCGACACCGAGAAGCTCCAAGTGAGAAACTTAACCGGAGGATGGGTCTGTATCAAAAGAGAGCCTCAATACCAAGGCACGTTGGGCGCTAAAAGGATTCCAGGAGCGCCAGAAGAACAAGCAACAAAGAGCAAATAAAGGGTGGAGCATTCTGATTTGAAAACAGCATTCCTTCAAGGAGAAGCCTATGACGAGACCAGAGATAGATTTGTCAGATAAACCAGCTTATGGGCTGAGCGACGCGCCTGAGCGTTTTGTGGAATATTCTGGACCTAGCACTAAGGTCCTATCACGTGATAATGTTGGTGACACAGTCTTCACACCACCGCTGTCCATCATACTGGACTTGAAAGGAGGCTTCGGTTATCCTGCGCAGTCTCAGGCAACAATGCCCAAGGCAAACAAGTCTATTCACGCCCTCCATGTTGGTGAGGTAGGCGACAGCACCTTCGGGAAAGACATCAGCCAAGATCTGCAAGGACTTCCAAGTGGGCTCTGCTCCCAGAACTCAATCTCGTATTGTCTACCAATTTCCGGGTGGGCAAGGCCGCATCTCCCACCATTCGGGCAGCAAAGAGCCATAAAGAGTGTTTCTCTTAGTGAGATTTTTGCCTCTTAAGAGCAAGACTCGATTATTTGTCGGTTGCCGTCCACATGTGATTTTCCTTGCAGAGGACCGAGACCTTGAAAAGGACTCATCGCACTCTCGAGGATCACGATGTCCACCACAGTGGCAGAGTTGCATGACTTGGCATATGCCCCTAGATGTTCATTTTCGCGCTACGCAGGCAATTTGGTTACAACAGCCTCCGCAACCCATCAACTAGAACAGAAGGAAACAATGCACTTCATGCACATGCTTGGAAGATAGGGTGAGCAGATGCTGTCTTCGTCGTTGAGGCCCTGGCACACAGGCTGCGCCTGAGGCATTTTTCATCCATGCTCCATCCATTCCCCATCCGTTTTCCATCCATTCTCCATTTTTATGCAACCCAAGTTCCATGAGATTCCACACACGTTCCAGCCGTTTCGTGATTTTCCAGACCACTTGCCATGAATCTTCCACCCATGAATGCGGGCTGCTGCCGGGAACTTCGCTGAAGTGAAAGGACATGCCGGGCGGCCTTGCCACGCAATGTCGCCCAAAGGAGGCTTTGCCTTCCGACTGACAGCGGCTGCCGCCGCCTGCTTGTCCAGCGCCTTTGGTGCATCATCACTGCCCGCGCAGCCATTGGAACTCGAGTTGGGAAGGCTCCGGCTCCATTATGCATCGACGTTGCGTCGGCCGCGTTTGGGGCCAAGCCAGTCCTAATGGGGCACGCTGTTGGGTTCACCTGGGATATTTCGCTAAACCCATATTTAACCTGTTGGCTTCCCTGATGAAAATATGAAAATACAAGTGGCAAGAAGACCAAGACCAAGTTTCCGTTTCACTTAAGTATGCAGGTGAGCAGGAATTCGAGCTCACAAGCGCCGGTGTCAAGCAACCAGTTCGGGCTTCAAACGTGTTGTAACTTTTGAGTACTCACTTTCATAGATCGAGCGGTGCCAAACCTCCCATCTGCTCGCTTGCTCGTGCTCTAGCCTTTCCCTGCTGATTTGAGCCACGGTCGAAACTACTTGCTGCTCCTGAAGAAAATGTAAAATAAAACACAAATTTGGCGAGGTTTCCCCAAGTCCCTCCCAAATGGATCGCAGACAGCAAGAAAATTCGACCAAACCTCTTTCCTTAAAGGTCAAACGATTGAACCCGACATATCCCCCCATGCGTGGCCTGGGTGGTGCGCTGCGAGGTTCAGGTTGCCGGGGCCTGGATGTGGAATCCACTCAGGAAGGATGTTTGTGTTTGTATTGCGCCCTGAGCATTGTTGCGGAAACGTGGTCCAAAAAAACAGAGTACACTTTGGAAATCACCAACACAACGCCATTTCCCGTGGGTGTAATCGCAGGGTGCAATAGCAAACCTGCTTATTGCCATGATGTCCACGAACTGTCCTACGAACAACTGCTAAAACCTGCTAAGTGGGTTGAGCATCCCAGTGCAGAACATCTGTAACGCTCGGCCCTCCCGGCAGTCCATAAGCTAGAAGACCTCAGCTCACCTCCTACAATCTGATTTGCACGCTACCGAAACGTAACGCCCCAAAATGAAAAAAACAAACGCGCTAGCACTGGGGATGACCCGTGCAGTGAAGCGGCGTTCCCACAGGTGCTGTGAAGTTACAAGGAACATCACTAAAATGAAAAGCCAGGCTTGTATTTTGTGTTTTTGGACGTCCCCCCCCTTATGAAGAGCCAGACAGAACGGAACCTGAAGGGAACTCTGGTGCCAGGCAAGCCCTTTGAGCTAAAACCCGGAGGAGTTGCAACTGATCGAGGACTGGCCGTGGAAAACACTCGGGCCTGTTTGGTTGGTCCGGTAGACTCCAGTTGATGCCACAACACAACGCTCTCTTCTTTGCTCAAGGCTGCCAGGTGCTGGGGCGCTGGATCTAGGGAAGTCTGGCAATCGGTGGAATGTCAGCTGCGGCTGCGGGGCCAAAAAGCGCCAACCCTTTTGGTCAGAGTTGAAAACCCACATAGAAAGCACCCGCATCGAGTGTCACTACCCCGCGTGTTCATGCAGTTCACAGTTCAAGCCAGTTTATTGGCTGGCTCAATCTATTGTTTTTTCCAACCGGTTTTTTTGGCACGGCTTCCTCCGAACGCTTGGCATGGCATTGCAGCACCGATAGTCTTCTTGGAGCTTGTGAAGCCGGCTCCCAATAGTTCTCTTGCGGGCCCAACTACTTCCAAGTCAGAATCACCTTCAAAGCCCACGCAAGGCCTTGGCTCGTCCGCGTTTCTTGAGCACGGATAGGTGCTCTCTTGGGCGCCCTTCACCGCCAGCGTGAGAAGACGCCGTTTCATCTCGCAAGACTAGGTCTGCTTGCTGATCTGGAGGCGAGGCCATGGCTGAAACAAAAACAGTTCTCAGCCACTCCTTCCCCTTCAGTAGGCAAACAAGTCACCAGTGCAACGCGCCTATCTAATCACCTCAAAACCTTGTGCCAAAAACAAGGCTAAGTCGTTGTTCGTGGCCCCGCGCGATTTGGCCGTTACTACGCGGCAACGATGGCTGAATCCCCCACGCCTTCCACGCGCGCGTCAAACTCCAGTTTTATCGCAAAGCCAGGATTAATTGTAATTCCGGTAGTTGAGTGACTCAAAGTCGATGCCCCACTGGGAAAGAGCGTTGCCAAATGAGAGGCCCGAAAAACAAACCAACAAACACTATGTGTTGATTTGTTTGTTGCGGAACCAGCAGCTAAACAAACCACGGCCTTAAGTCACAGCAGCAAGCCAACAGCACTCCGCAGACAGCCCGCTGTCTTATACCGAAACACGCTAGAGAACACAGACTCCCAAACTGTGTAGTCTGTGCGCGCGTGTGCGTGCGCGCGTGTGTGTGTGTGTGTAGGTGTGGGTGGGTGTGTGTGTGTGTGCGCAGCGTGCTGGGCCACGCGCGCAGACTTTTCGGTAGCGGCAGATCGTTTGGGCCCACTACCAACAAAGACGCCCATTTGATCTGGTTATACGTCAAGCTTGGCCATGCCTGCCGGCCTTTCTTGTTGAACCTGTTAAACCTGTTCACCCGGTGTTGCTGTTTGCTTTGTTCATTCGTGATGTTTTTGGGGGGGTGGGTGGGTGGGTGGGTGGGTGGGTGGGTGGGTGGGTGGGTGGGTGGGTGGGTGGGTGGGTGGGTGGGTGGGTGGGTGGGTGGGTGGGTGGGTGGGCGTCTGGGTGTGGGTGGGTGTGGGTGTGTGTGGGTGTGTGTGTGGGTGTGTGTGGGTGTGTGGGTGTGTGTGGGTGTGTGTGGGTGTGTGTGTGAGTGTGTGTGGGTGTGTGGGTGTGTGTGGGTGTGTGTGTGGGTGTGTGTGGGTGTGTGTGGGTTTGTGTGGGATTGTGTGGGTGTGTGTGGGTGTGTGTGGGTGGGTGTGTGTGTGGGTGTGGGTGTGGGTGTGTGTGCGTGTGCGTAAGCGTGTGCGTGCGCGTGTGCGTGTGCGTGTGCGTGTGCGGGTGCGCGCGTGCGGGCGTGCGGGCGTTCGCCAACATCCGAGCCGAGATGGACAAGGTCGATGCAGAGAACAAGACGACAAGCGCCGGCACTCGCTTTAGGATTCGAGATCTACCGTTCAATAGTCAGAAAGATCCACTTTACATTAACGACTCGGAAGTAACCAAACTTCAGGTGGCAATGAAACAGTTCCCGGCAGGAGCAGAGCTTGACATTGAATCCAATCCAATTCACGGACCCTTGCCATTCATAATGGCGTGACAAGATGCGGCACCTTTGTATACCTCACGCGCCGTACAACAAGTCCGCATGTACAACCGCACAATCGGCAACAACTCACCGTCGACAACACCGCCGGATGACGCTTGCGTGTTTTTGTGGCAAGCTCACACACGCTGGGTAAGCTTTGGGTCTTGCCAGCACACATGTGACTGGAACGGCTATACTCCATTACAGTGGCGCGCGCTAGTCTTCTCGCAGAACCACGTGTCATTCAGGAGCACCAATGATTTGGCCCACGCCGATCGACCAGCAGGGGACGTGCCACAGGCACCACAGCCATCGAGGCCAGACCCGCCGGCCACACCCGATGCAGCAATGCCGCAGGCAACGCCTGCGTCACAGCAAACAGGGAGTACATCCGGAACAACAACGGCAGACCCAGCCGGCTGTGCAGCCAATTTCCCCGCCTAGTCGTCTCAATCGACTGGGTGATGATGCTCCAGCCTCCTAATCGTCCCGCAGTTGCAGTGCCTCCGCCGAACACAAAACCAACCTTCACTTCCACCTGCGCCTGAAGATGACGACGACGAAATGCAAGAGGCAGGTACATCAAACAAGAAACACAAGAAGGACAAAGACAGCCCCGGGAAACAACACCAACAGCACCAGCATCATCATCGAACGGTCCTCCGCCACTTCCGATCGCCTCATTAAGAGCAAGTTCGTCACCAGGACTTCCACCTTCAACACCGTCATGAAAGGCACAGCCAGCTGATCCTGGAGAAGATGAAGAACCCTCTGAGGAACTACAAGAAGATCAGGGAGAACCGGAGAGCTCTGATTCTCAAAGAACCCGTCGCTACACAGACTAAGATTCAGACCTGGCACTCCAAGAAGCTCTTTTGTACAGTTCACACATGACCAAAAGGTGTATAGCAACACCAGCTCATTCACTGTTCCAAGAGATATTGAGGGTAGACCATTAATTAAGTCTATAACAACTTCTCATTCTTCGCGCGCTCGACAGAACAACAAGTACGACATTGGGTCAGTGCGCCATTTCCTCAACGATGATGACAGAGCTATGATCACACTGTATTCTGAGAGACAGGAATCCCTCTTCCACCACACAGCAGCTAGCTGGCAAGAAACGTAAGGAAGCAAGCAACACGAGAAGAGGTTAGAACGCACAGTAAACAATTCCTTGAAGGAAGGCAATCGGAGCGCAAATCCTGGTTAGACAACGAAGTATTCGTTTTGGCCAATACCAGGAAACTCCGTTTGAGAAACTTGGTAACTGGAAGATTGGTCTTAACCATCAAAAGGGACAAGGAAGGCAACTTCCTTAAGCGTTGGGCGCTTAGAGGCTTTCAAGATCGCCAAAAGAATGAACAACAACAAAGAGACAGCCCAGCAGCTTCAAGAAGTGGGCTCACATTAGCCGTTCAAGCAGCAGCAAACAAAGGGTGGAACATATCCCACATGGACCGTAAAACGGCTTTTTTAGAAGGGGAAGCCGATGACTATAGCCGAGGCATAACCTGCCAAATTCCACCAGAAATTGATTATCCCCCATATATAGGAGCCCGCGCCGGGACTGAAACGTTCTTGATTCAGCGGGTGGTTGCTGCACCTACGTCTACTACGGCGGGAAGATCCAGTAAGGCCCATCCCAATGGAATTAATTTGGAAGGAGCCGTTGGTTGTCTCATGGATCCAGTCTCAGGCAGACAGGTCCACGGTGTGACGCCGCTAAATGTAGACGATCTTCTCATGGCAGGTGACGATACCGTCAAGCAAAAGATCATGGCTAAGACCCGTAAGGATTTCCAACTAGGTTCCGAGAATACGAACGACTGTGTCTTCGTTGGACAGCAAAAATCCAGTGGAAACATGACCTACAGCACGGAGATTACACCAACGTTCACCAAAATGTAGCCATAGACGAACTCCAAGACATCAACTTCGAGAAACACCTCAAATGCGATGCGCAGCTAAATCCAGCTATGCACGCAGCATGCCGAATTGTGCTTGGACAGATTAGTTGGCTTCAGTCCAGAACCCAATTTCACATTGGTTACCAATTTTCAAGATGCGCTTCAAAGGCCTCATCTCCCACTATTGGTGATGTGGGAGCCATAAACAAAACTGTCAGAACCATTAAGAGCATACCTGTTAATACGAGACTCTGGCCTCTGAAGGGTAAGACCAATTTGTCGGATACCCTGCCGCGCCTTACAGGAACCACGATGACAAGTCATCGCAACGTGCGCGTGTGATTTTCCCTGCGCAAGATCACAACCTTCACAATGATTCGCTTCGCCGAATTCCAGACGATCCTCGTTGGTATTGAAACTCATAAGATCGCTGCATCTACCATGTCCACCACTGTGGCTGGGTTGCACGGACTGATGCGATGATTCGGCGCGTGTCTCTTCATTCCAAGACTCTGGCCAGACATACCTGGCGAACTTGCTGGTGTCCATGTTCGCACTAATGCGAACAATTCAGCAACCACTGCACCAAGAACCCATCAACCTGAACGGACGAAAACCATGCGCCTTATCCAAATGCTGTGCCAGGAGAGCAACCGTGGTCAGACGCATGGCCTTCAGGCTCTGCCAAGGCCGACGAGCTCATCAAAACCGTCATGACTGTGACAAGCATTCTTCCGAAATGTTGATTTCCATCCACCTTTCAGGACAATGTTTCAGAACAAGGCGTTCCTGGTTGAATACTAAGCCTACTGAAGCACACCGTTTCTGGCATTCACCGAAGCGGATATCCAGTGATGACTGCACCTGAATAACCGTGAACCGTTCTGATTTCCTTGCAACTGTATAAACCCCACCAGAACCGTTGACTCAAGAAAAACTACTTTCAAGCACGCTTGACCTTTGTGTTACAACCCCTCGCAACATTTGGCGAGATTTTGGAAGACTGAGGACGAAGGATGCAGGAAGACATACCTCCAGATCCAGATCCTCCGTGGAAGCAGATAAGTCGGAAGATGAAAAGCCAGCGCTCGAGAAGGATGAGGAGATGCAAGATCCAGAAGAACTGAAGGATTCTCCGAAGAAGCCAACAATTGGATCAGATTCCGAGGAAAAGCAACATGAAGATTCCATCAAGTTGTTAGCAAGGGAATCCGATGATGAAGAAGACGAACAGGAGCAACCTCATAAATCTCTTCATGCCACAGACGAACCAGGAAATGAAGAACATGACTATGGAGGCAACGAAGAAGCAGATGAGCAACCGCACCGTCGCCGAGAACCTGTGCGTGAAAAGATCCGGAAAGACTTCCACCAGATCAGCTTTCGCGAGGACACCCGCTTGCGACGTACGCAGATTCATTTGTTGCAGCAATCTCCTGGTTCTACAATAAATGTCATTTCATAAACGATGTCTTCCGACCGAATTTTGCTACGTTCGGTAGAACCGCTGCGACTACTACGATCAGGACCAGGGTGTCCATGGTCTACAATGCTCCAAGGTCTGGAGCCACGTTGGAGACAGATATGATGACCTCAAAGAATATCCTCAGTGTACGAAACCCAACGTGCAACATTCAGATAGACAATTACCAAGGCCATGTTGATATGCCTGTGACACATCATAATGTGAGGGCAATGGCAAGACTCCTCAAGGCCGACAAGAAAAAGATGTGGGTCACTGCAGCCTTCAGGAGAAGATATCCAGAACCTTTACAGCAGTCCTGCGGCATACACCTGATCTGCGAAAGCAGCAGGCATGTTCTTCTCAAAAAAAGGAATGGTGGGAAGCATACGATTGGACACCCTCCAAGGAACTGCGAAGATTCGTGCGTATTGCGGCTTCTGCGCATAGCACCCATCTTTGACATCATTCACGCGACGATGCGCCCGAGATTTGGCAACGAGAGCCAGTAAGAGCGGAGTTCCTCGCAGAGCATCCTCCTGAGGATGAAGCCAAGGAACGCGGATTTGCGTACAAGGAAGCTCTGGAAAGCAAGCCGAAGAGCAAGTCAATGCCGAAACTTTCGCAGCCACATGGGCCTCGAACACGATCTCAAGACGACCGACGAACCGCTCAGTGAAAGAGAGTTCAATTCAAGCATACTCTCTCCTGTCTCCACAGAGGTCGGGATCATCAAGGAAGGATGCGTAACTGACGCCAATGGGAAAGGAAATGTCTTTTACGGAAACAATCAAGATTTCTGCTTTCATCATGAACTACGACAAAATCTTACATCCCTTGCGCTGCTCCTATACAAATTCGATGATGAAGATCAACCGAGTGGCAAAGCACTGATTGCAACCGACAAAGGTGCCTGCCAAAAAGATAATCATGTATGTCAACGTAGACCAGCAGGAATCCTACAAATTCACAGAACGACCTATCTCTTGGAACTGTATTTGCCATTTCACAATCATGCCCGGAAGAAAGAGGAGGAAAGAGTATCAAAGAAACATGGAGCTTCAGAAACCAGCCGATCCTAGAACGGCCTGGCTAAATCAGAAACCATCCTCACCAAGATCCTCTTGGTCCTGGAGTTACAACTGGGACTACAGTAAACCACATTCTGGCACCAGGATGAAGATTCAGCAAGTCGGAGTCATAGTGGCCAAGGACAGATCCACAAGAAGACGACTTTCCTGGCGAATCAACTCCATGAAGCAGCTGTGGACCTCATGAACAAGCTGACGGAATCAGGACGCAAGCCCGACAACAAGAAACCATGGAGACCTCCAATGTTCACGCCACCAACAGGATTCACCAATCTCCAACTTGCCAGCATTGCCTCTCTCACAAGGAAGGCAGAAGGCAAATCTCTGTTACAAGGAGAAGGACAAGAACAATCCAACTTCAAAAGAATTTTGCGATCAGCAACCCGAACGCCGGTATCCGATCAGGATTCCATATGGTGCCCAAGGACTTACATCAAATGATGCTCCGAAAACAAGAAAGGCGTATTTGGAGATCCCTTCCCACATGAACAAGGACGAAAAGAACCAGAACCGATGATCGAACGGCGCAAACGCAGACTAGTAAAGCATCCTTACCCTGAACCTCGGGAATCTAGAGCGGCCTCCGGTGTATCCGGGAAACAAGAAGGAGGGCGACCACGGGACTCTATTGTGCTGGGCTTGATCCGAAATAACCCTCGACATGTACTTTGACTTCAAGAATGTGACGGGACCCTACACCCCACGGTCCGAAAAATCTTCCAGCATGCCGGAAATACTGGCATCGTATTGACACAAGGCATCGGTTGCTTTGTGAGAGGAGATGACACCGCTATGTGCTGACCAAGACGCAGGCGTGGGCCATGTCTGGAGCATACTTCCGAGTGGTGTATGAAATTCTGTCAGATTCGGAAGATTCCAAGGTTCCGCTGAACAGAGAAAAAGACGGAACTGCACTTCCTGCGGCTCCCACTCGAAAGTCAGCACCTCAGGCAATGATCCAGATTGGGAGCTTCCGCAAAAGAAGCACAGTCCCTTCAGCAGGGAGGAATTCTATTTAAACTCGCGAGACAAAGGGTGTCGCGCAGGACTGCCATTCTGAACAGTGGGAGTATACCACTATGAATGCAATGCTACGAAATGCTACGAAGTCGTACAATGCCGTCAGTGGAAACATACGCGAAATCAGCGTGCACGGCAACTGGTGTCGCACCCTGAAATATCCGCCATGCACGTGGCCATGGAAGGAACCGTCAAATGTTCCAACCAGGCCCAGAAAGAGCCATTGAACCATCTTCGCATCAGTACTGAGGTTTCGGCCTCAAGGAGATCCATATTGGAATCTTCACTCATTTACGGCTCGAAAGCTGGACTTGAGCATGATGGATTTTTCGGTGTCCTGGATTGCCTGGTAACCCATGTTTTTCATTGGGCCAAGACCAACCGCATGCGAGATCTCCGGCAACGCCATGACTTCGGACCAAATAAGAACCAGACTGGGGAAAATGTTTCCTGACTGCAAGGTGAGCTCAGGCGAAGATGCAAGTCGCTGACCAGTGAGCAGCTTCTGCTTGGGACTGAAGATACAGATTGGCACCATCCACTCCTCGTGAACCTCGCTGTTTCTGAGCAGCAATATATGCGATGCGGCGGTGAAACGAAAAGAGAAGAGTAAACAGCAACTCACAAGGCGAAACCGCGTCATCTTAATGACAGATTATGATGAAATCCATTTCTGTGTCCAGCTGGCGTTTCCTTTCTTTTCTCTGGGTCACCGGAATTTCTCACAATGATCCTTGTAGTCAGTGTCTTCTTGTTTGTCGTGTACATACCTGAAAATTCTCACCCAAGTCACGTACAGATTCAACACTCGCCTGAGCCCGTGTAAAAGTCGTGTGTCTCCGTGCTTGTGAACGTTTTGGAACCCGAGCCGCTTTAAGGCATAGGGTGCAAACATCCCAATGTGCTATTACTGCACTACTCCGTGTGTTCTAGGCTTCTGAGCCGAGTGATTACATCGCCCAATAGCAGTATTCTTTTGTTTCTGAGATGCCATGAGTGGACAGAAATTTGTGTCCGTGCGCTTCTCATTTGTTCTGTGCTTGATTCCCAGTATGCACTCACGCTTCTCATTTCATGGCATTAAGGCCTGGTTCTTTTACAATCTCTATCTCATAGAGAAAAAGCCCGCTATGCTGACTGTGGCGCCGTTTACACTTGTTCGTGTTGGAACCAAGCAGTGCTTACTCCATTTGGTCATAGTTACCTTCTGCGTCGGACTGGATCCACCCAGGGGCATCCGGGACCCCTTTTTACAGCCTCAAACAGGTCAGAAAAAGTAACTTTCGACGTGCCCCAGGATTTTAACCCCTCTCCCAAACTACATTTTCCGTAACACGGAGGTGCCTGATCGGGCGAGTCAGGTGATTGGACGCCGTTTGCGCACGCTGATGCACCCGTTTCTTTGGGGCATGGGAAGTCATCGGCTGAAGCAGTTGAAGTTTCGTGCTACTTCCTATCCCACGCCGTCAAAACCCACGAACTTCCTAAAAGCACGCCTCATAGGGCCTTACAGGGCCTCGTTGGCTCGGGAAGGAAATCAGGGGGTGAGCTGTGAACCTAGGTGTCAGTTTCAGAAAAAAGGCGGATTCTGGAGAACTGGACAGCCTCTGATACCGAAACCTTGGAATGAACTCATGCTTTGGAACCGAACTGAACTATGACCGAGAGCTTCTCTGCGCGCCTTCCACGTGCCTGGCTTTGACCAGCACTTCTTTGACCAAGGCGCCGCCTGAGTCGCGCCGACCCTGGGCTCCGAACCAAAGCCCAAAGTGTCTTGCCTTTGGCGCGCCTTTTGCGCAACCCCCAAACGGCACCCTCAAAAAAAGCACATACTGCAGTGGTACAGAGTGAACACACTCTCGCGAAGCCGCCGGTCCTCAAATTACTTGGCTCAAACCCTCAGCGCACGCAGAGGTATACATGACAGCTTGACACATGTCCAAACTCCGAATCTGGTGAACTTCTGTGGATTAGTCGAAAAAGTTAACGAGACTACCAGCACGAAATTGCCAGGGGGGGCTTAATGCTTGCCTTTCATACGTTGGTTTCCTTCCAGCTGTGCCTCCCATTGTTTCCAGGGGTCCTTCTGTTCAACAAACTGCCCACGGTGAGAAAGCGAGGGCTCAAAACAACTTTACGCTGTTTGGAAACAAACAGCTCCTACCTCAGCTATCGCCCAATTCCACGTGCGATGTTTACATGATGCTCTATACTTAACTTCAAGAACAATCATCGCCGCGTTCGCCACCGGCCCAGATATACAGATTGCCATGCGACTCCGGCTCGTTCGGTCAAATCTCAAACCTTCATGCGCAACCACTTATATAGGCTGTAGGTGTGTCCAAAAAGGCCAGCAGGAAACAAATCTGCATTCAATTGACTTGTTGTTGTCATTCACGTTCAAGAGCGACCAAGACCTGCAGACTCTTGAACGTTCAAGGCCCTCAGCGGGTTTCTGTCAGAATAGGGGAACCCCAAAACAGCACTTATTCTCTTGGTTTCCCTTCAAGCCAACATGTAAATTGCGCCCTCAACCAAAAAGAACACATACCCAGTAGTGGCCCTGGAGGTTCATTCGCAAAGACAAGTCACATAAACATTCTGCCTGCAAATTTCCTGTGCAGGGTGGTGTGCAGCACGGCCATCTCCTCATCAAAAAGCTTGGCCTGAGGCTTTGGACGGAACGGGTGAATGGGGCGCTGATGGTTTATTTTATGCTTGCACTTTATTTGCATTACACCCGGTCACATGCAAATAAGTTAGTACTTGTGTCAACAACTGGCAACCTGTTTCAATTGGCTTCTGTGGGATGTGACCCAAATTCCGTTCAAAAAGCGTAATAAGATTACCGGGTTGCCCCTAGCGCGACACCAACCCCCACAACTGCGGGGGGAGGCCCCCCCCAAAAAACAACCTTTCATTAAAAGAAGTAAAACAAAGTTCATAACGAACAACAAAATGTAAAATGAATACCACAAAACTCACAAAACTGAACAACCAACAAACACCAACAGAACAAAACAGCAACAGCATTCCTAATATTTCGCTCATGAGTTTTTAGTTCAAAGCAAACAACAAACATCAACTAAACAAAACAGCACCTAAACTTCCTTGGGCCGAAAACCCTCTGAAAGTAGGTTCAAACAAACTTCTTACAATGCTTTTATTGTAAGGTTTATGGGTTAACTGTGTCTATCTAATGCTGGACAGAACACTTGGAGTCCAGTTTCCTCTTCATCTAAATCTAGCTCGTCAATTTCTTCTAAAATACCAAATGCTGAATGATATAAGCTACTTTCAACAATATCAATGTCTTATGTTGTGTCTTACTGTCTTGAAATATTCTACATCTCTGATACCCATCACTGTCAGCAATAGCTGCTTTTAAAAAAGTACGGTGTAAATACAACATCTTCATTATTCAAACACAAGAATTGACGGAATATATATATATATGCTTATTCTTCATATACTCTGGAATTTTTAACGGACATGGGACGCTCTCGAAATTCTAAAATGAAAGTAGTCTCTGCAAAGGTTCTAGCTGTGTGGGACGCTTAAGATATTTGGCATTTTTTGTTTAAGTCTTAATGCCTCATTATGTTTCAACCTAATGTAATCTGGTTCTCCTAACCAGTAAGAAGAAATTCTACCTGTTTCACCTACCTCACTTGCTATATGAAGTCAATACTTCTTTAAGTCAATTTCTATCAATTAAACATAGATATCTGAATTCTATAGCATTAAAGCAAAAAACTTACAGTTCAATCTTGTTGTAAGGTTCATGGGGTTAATCATCTTCATAAGACCCTATCTTAAACACAGGGCATTCTACAGAACTGGTTTGGAACTCAGTGTGTCCTGTGTGTTTCATTCCCGTGTATATATTCAGTAACCTCACTACATTCAACAATTGCTCTACCTAAGTTGACTTCCTCGCATCTACTAAAACGACTTATCACATCTATATTGCCACTACCTATTTTCAAACACATTGTTTCACACAGTCTAAATGAGAACTTACACTCATTGTTCAATATACTCTTTCCAGGAAAGAAGTGACATTTAACATGCAAATATGTTAAACCATCAGTGGCTTTACATTTGTTTTTCTTCCAACAATTTAGGTAGCCTCCTTAAGTATAAACGGTCTTTAAGTTCTTGGTAATGAAGTTTACATATATGGATAATAGATAATTGAAGTGAACTTAACTTGCGTAATTCAACCCTGTTCCCTTCTAATTTACAAGGACAACTTATAGTTTTAGTTTTCGTAGGTTTAACCAAAACATTTACATAAGTTGTATTTAAGAACTCCCTTCTGATATGTTCTTGCTCTATTTCACCAAACATTTTCACTAACATATTAAGTAACTATTCCTTTAAGTCGTTTTCTACTAACTTGTTTTTTGATGACCGTGCGCTCAACTATCTAAAGCAAATGCCCACGGGGTCTGATTTTCAGAGGGGCTGAATGAAATCTTTTGTCTTAATGCTGCAAACCTTATCCTTTTTGGCCTGATACTTTTAAATCACTTGTGCGCTACTCCATTTGGTTGTCATACTTTCTCACACTCTTTGAACGCAAGCTGTCCCTTAACTACGTGCTTTGCTGCTCCGCTACATTTCTTGTGTTCCTTTTCCCCGCCAAAGGTTTTAAAACCGTAACATGTGGGACGAAGAGCGGTAAACCCTGTAATTAGTTTGCTTGCTGTTTCATCCTTGCAAGAGCCTTATACTTGTTAATTCGTAATATCCTTCAGGTCTATCTGGATGTCAGTGTCAGTATAAACCATTCTAGTATTATCTGCGTATTTAGGTTTCATAACACCATTATTAAGCTTATGCATATGTTGCTTGCTGAAATCTAAAACACTCATTCCAATGACAATATGTATGTCTGATTTCATTTTAGGCTTGTTCTCCCAACTCCTACAAAACTCTCACTGAGAATATGACTGTGCTTAATGATGGGTGATAATCACATTTCATACACCTCTGAGTTTAAATGCTAACCGTGGCATTCCCCCATAGTTTTAATGTTGCAATGCTTCCATAGTATCTTTGCTTTTTTCATAGTCAGTTCTCGTACACTCACTCAACCGGCTGTAAAACATAACTTTAGTTAGCGAGTTGTCATCCCCAAGTCTATCATTTGAATTCACAAAGTCATACGGCAAAACTCCTTTCTCTGTCAGTAAGTCCAAACATTTCTGGTGGTAATAGTTCCGTTCTTACGACTATATCTGAAACTACTTTGCCAGTTTTGTTTCGAGACCTATTTACTTTTACCTCTCTACCACCTGTAGTATCACATTTTGCTAATGATACTAATTTACGCAAAGAAGCAGTTGTGAAACAGAAACTATCCTCAACACTTAAACTATCAAAGCCGACATTAAAAACTTTTCACTGCCCTGCGCTATTGCATCTACTTTCTTCTGGTTACTTAACTTTTCAGCATTTTAAATAATTAAATTTCCGAACTAACTCTTCATATTATGAAAACTGGTGTTTTACAATAGTTCATGACAGAAAGCTACATTACAAATGCTATGGGCACAACCTGTATATGTACCCGTACAGTGGCAGCGGTCTCTCACTTTCTTACATTTCCCAGCGTCTGTTTCATTCTTGTAATCATATCTACATGCACCCCCACAAATAAAACAATGTGTAGAATTCCTAGATCTTTCTCATCTTCATCCGTCATATCAATGTCCTTATTTTCTTTCATTTTGTTTTTAATGTCTTCTCTTATCTCATTTATTTCATGACACACAGCTCCACAAAACAAACATTCATGATTAGAGCCATCAACTGAATTAACCATATTTAACATAATGCCACATGGTTTGTGCTCCTGGCAATTGTAAGTTTCAAACTTTCCATCTGTTGGTTTATCTATTTCTTCAGTTAAGCATTCGAATTCAGCTCCTTAACTTTTTCAAGTGATGATTGAACCTCACTTTCAACTACGGCTTAGGCATTTCTATTTGTTGTCCTTCTACTTCCATACAACCATTCACATAGCGCTTCTTTGGGAGTTCAGGAGTTCCGTCCCCAAATTATGGGTATTTGCAGAAACATGAAGCAATGTAGAACTTGTTTTTGACAGTTTATAAGTCTTCTCAAAGGCTTACTATAGACATACTGACTAGCATCTCCTTCATCAATTCTGAACAAGTTAATATGACAGGTACCATCCTTATTTTGCAATGCTCTATGTTTTGCTCCTGCTCTTGATTTCATCCGCTTTCGAAACCATTAATAGACACATTAGGGTTTTGTTCTTCGAACTTATCTATACCATCAGAAATCGCAGGACAATTCATTCCAAGGTTCAAATCGCTGACCACACTTTTTTAACGGTAAAAGTATTCTGGATGCTTCTTTTCATTGGAATTATGGTAAGCACATTCCAAACAACATTTAATACACGTATCATCTTTATTTCGAATATGTATACGCGCTCTTTTCGAATTTACCCACTTTGGAAGTTCAAGATTGATCTGCTCTGGTCGGGTTGTATTTGGTTTACATAATGTGACTGCTTACATTTTTGACAATCATCAATCCTGGTTCACAAAGTGCCATTTCTACAATTCTTGTTTCAATGTCTGGCTTCATGTTATTAAGTGCTTCCTCAAATCATCCTTGTCCTTGTAGTAATCAAACTTTCTTCTTCAAATAACCTGCTTACTCTTGAGGACACAGTAGCTTATCCCTTCAAATGAACGTCAGAAATGGTGTAGGCATTGGCAAATACTGAAAAAAGGGCTTCTTTCCTGTTTTATTTCTGCTTTTTTGTGATTACGTGTTTTACGACTGTTCTCGTTCCTACTCATTCTCTTAATTGTTTTGCTTTGTAGTCAGTAGTCTTCTTTACACTTTCAGGTTTTGCTTTTAAAGTTTTTTGCTTATAGATTTGTCTGGGTTGTATGTGTGTTCATTGTTGCCTATGGCTATGGATTGACATTTTACATCCTTATTTAATTTGTATTCTCCTACATTGCTTCTAAGAATGTACTTTACAGTACCACTGTTTTCATCTGGCGGTAAATCTCTTTTCAAATTCGTAAGTAAATAATTCATAGTATGAATGTTTCCTGACGTCAAAACCAACTCCTATAATTTCAAATAAGTAAAGCAGTTACTCATTTGCTAACATTCGTGTCTCTAATAGTGTCTGCTTGAATTTTCTGAAGTATATTACTTTTGAAGCTTCTCATTCTATCATTTGTACTTTGCAAGCATCCTCGCTCAACTTGGAATGGGTCTCTTTTCGTGTGAATAATTACCTTTGCCGTTCTTGCATGTTCTTACCTTACTTGAAACTTCTATAGGTGGGTGTCTTCTCATATGCTTCTGGCTTAATGTTCAATTTGCCTTTCACTTTGTTCTATTCTCGTCTTTTATGTGCCTCAATGGGTTTCATGCCAGTCGATGAGTGTGTTGCGCGCTTCAACGCTGGTCTCAACATATCCGTCCATTTACTATTTGTACAGTGAATCCTGCCGCCTATTCCCTTTTTCATACTTCTAACAAATCTCTCTTCTGCATTTGTGTGTGTCATTGTTTTCTTTTGGCTTATACCAACACCATCTAAATATTATTGACATCTGCGTGAAACGCTCCGTCATCATCACTGTAAATTTCAATTGGCTCACTCATAGCTCCGAAACATTCCGTCAATGCTTCTTAAAAGATTTGGACTGCCTTGCTCAGGCATCGGCTTTACAAATCC